TGATCTGTGAGAGATCCCAAGCCAGAAGCACTTACCTAAGCTACTCCCCAATTCCTGATTCACACTGTGAGAATTAATGTCTACTAAGCTGCTAAGCCTTTTAAAAATTTTTTTATTTATTTTTTTCATGAGAGACACAAAGAGAGAGAGAGAGAGGCAGAGACACAGGCAGAGGGAGAAGCAGGCTCCATGCGGGGAGCCTGACATGGGACTAGATCCCAGATTCCGGGATCAGGCCCTAGGCTGAAGGCAACGCTAAACTGCTGAGCCACTCAGGCTGCCCTTAAAGATTTTATTTATTCATGAGAGACACAGAGAGAGGCAGAAACATAGGGAGAGGGAGAAGCAGGCTCCCTGCGGGGAGCCCAATGTGGGACTCGATCCCAGGATTCCGGGATCACAACCTGAGCCAAAGGCAGACGCTCAACCCCTGAGCCACCCAGGCGTCCCTAAGCTGCTAAGTCTTGAGGCCACTTGTTAGATAGCTAATATAACTAATACATACTCTTCATTTTCTAGCTTTTTACTTACTTCTATGGAAAAACAGAAAGGAATAACAAAATAATAAACCAGAAAAAGTCACAAAGTTTCTAGCAGTCTTATAGTGCTGCCTTTGGTTTATTCCCTGGACTATCTTTTCTGATTTTTCTAGGATCATTCCAGAAGTTCCTCTAAGATGATTCTGAGAGCTTTCCGGCCACAATTCCTGAGAGGAGAAGACTACTTCTCCTACCCACCTCCCACCTCAGGATATAGTCAGAGATGATGACATACACTTATATGTGCAGTTATTTGTGGGGGGAAACAAGTGTAAAAAACCGCATGTCCAAGTCTAAGGAAAATTGTATAAATTATAACATATTTTTTGGTAGAATATCATGCACCCATTACAAAGCGTAATTACAAAGACATCCCTACTGTTCTGGAGACATTTTTATGATGTATTTTTAAATTTTAAAAAGTGGGATGTGATCTTATGTATGTGTGTGTATGTATGGATATATAGTATTTTAAAATAGAATTGGGAACTGCTAGCAGAGATTATCTTTGGATGATAGGATGCGGATGACTTTTTCCCCTTTATGATTTCATGCTTTTAACAGTGAAGGTGTACTACTATTATCATCAGAAAAAGCATTTAAAAAAAAAATGGGATCCTGCCCATCCCTCAAGACTCACCCATTAAGACTACCCAAATCCCTGTCAAGTCAATCTCTTTTTTTCTATAATTTCATTATCGTTCTTTTCCTTGTACAGTCCCATTTCTTCTTATTTGGCATCTGTATGGTACTCTTCTCCCGTGCAGTTATAAATGCATGCCTAACAGCGTGAGTGTACCACCTAGGTCTGGCGCTCCAGAAAATGTCCTCGCTGCTCTCACCTAAACCTGCCACCGCACACAGGCAAGGCAGCCCCGTTCTCCCAGGCTCCGATTTCTTGGAGGGCAGGCACTGTGGCCATTTGTCACTGTCTCCCAGTACCACCCATTGGACTGAAGTCCTCTTCCTATTAGAAACTTGTTATCCAGTCAGTGCTGAAAAGGACTGGCTGGTGGTATAAATGAGTCAGGTGGTGGGATTTTATGGGTGCCCCAGGACTTTTCCTCTTTCCTGCAACTGATGTCATTATCCCGGCCACGGGGAGGAATTTTCTGGCCTGGAAAAGTGGAAAGTGACCCTGGACAATAATGCACTCCCTATTAAATCACAGCACATCCCAGAGGGCTGCCCAGCTCATCACAAGGAAAGAGGAAACCAAGATCACACAGGAGGCCAGAGCTAGGACTGGTGGGGGTGGCAGTCAGGGCGTCCAGGTGTGCCCCTCTCCCCTCCCATTTCCGGCTACAGAACTGGTACCAGTAGGGGTGTGGGCTCAGCACGCTGTCAGGGTGCAAAGGTTTCTGTAAGAACAAAGAGCCTAAGAGTTGGGCTTTGGTCAGTGAGGAGAGCTACGGGGGTGGCCGACGAATCTCTCGCTGGAATGGCCTTTCCCTTTGTGGACTGGCTCTCCCAAGTGGTTGGTGAGGTGAGGAGGAGCCAGGGCCTCGTTCTTTCTCCCTCATGTCCAACATAAACACCTTTTTAAAAAGCAGATTAACTAGAGTGGGAAGTAGGGGAAAGGCAGCCTGAGGAGGTTGCAGAGTTCCCCTCCAGATGCAGATAGAGGGGCCCAGCCCACCTAGCTCACCAGCTAAGAGGACCTGACAGATTTAGGGCCACCGTAAATGTGGCGAGAACAAACCTCAGTTCCCAGAAGTCTATTTTTCTGTCACTTCTATCCTGAGCTCCCTTTCCACTGGGGTCTGGACAGAAACCCAGTCTGCACTGATAGGGCATTACAGCTGAGTTCCAGGAAGCTTACAGCACTAAAGCACTGGGTGCAGGTGCCAGAAGTAAATACGGGCATATCTTGTTTCGTTGTACTTCACTTTATTGCACTTTGTGGATACTGCATTTTTTAAGAATTGGAAGTTTGTGGCAACCCTGTGTCAAGCGAGCCTACTGGCATGCTTTGTCCAACAGCACTTGCTCAGTTCCTCTGTGTCACATTTTAATAATTGTTGCCATATATCCAAGTTTTTCATTATTATTATATTTGAATTGCTGCAATTTCAGATAAAACTTGAATGGACGAGGAGTTGCTTCTCACAGAGGAGCAAAGAAAGTGGTTTCTTGAGATGGAACTCTCTGGTAAAGATGCTGTAAAAATTGTTGAAATGACAACAAAGGATTTAGAATATTATATCAGTTTAGTTGATTAAGCAGTGGCAAGAGGGACGCCTGGGTGGCTCAGCCGTTAAGCACCTGCCTTTGGTCAGGGCATGATCCCAGGGTTCTGGGATCGAGTTCCTCATCGGGCTCCCTGCATGGAGTCTGCTTCTCCCTCTGCCTGTGTCTCTGCCTCTCTGTGTGTCTCTCATGAATAAATTAAAAAAAAAAAGTGGTGGCAGGGTTTGAGAAGACTGATCCCCAATTTGAAAGAAGTTCCACTGTGGGTAAAATGTATCAAACAAGACTGCATGCTACAGAGAAATTGTTCATGAAAGGAAGAGTCAATGTGGCAAACTTCGTTGTGTTTTTTTGTTTTTTGTTTTTTTTGAGAGAGAGAGAGAGAGTACAAGTGAGGGACGGTCAGGGGCAGAGGGAGAGGGAATCTTAATTAGACTCCATGCTGAGTGTGAGCGCAGAGCCTGATGCAGGGCTGGATCCCATGATGCTGAGATCATGACCTGAGCCAAAATCAAGAGTCAGACACTTGATCAACTGAGCCACTGAGGCACCCCATATCGTTCTCTTATTTTAAGAAATCACCACAGCCACCCCAGCCTTCGGCAACCACCACCCTGATCAGTCAGCAGCCAGCAACACCTGGGCAAGACCCTCTACTTATGACTCATTGGAACCTCAGATGATGGGTAGTATTTTTTTTTTTTACCAGTAAGACATTTTTTTATTAAGGTCTGTGCATAGTTTTTGTAGACACAATGCCCTTGCACACTTTTTTTTTTTTTAAAAAGATTTATTTATTCATGAGAGACACACAGAGAGAGAGGCAGAGACATAGGCAGAGGGAGAAGCAGGCTCCCTGTGGGAAGCCTGATGCGGGACTCGATCCCAGGATCCCGGGATCATAACCTGAGCCAAAGGCAGACGTTCAACCACTGAGCCACCCAGGCGTCCCTGCTCTTGCACACTTAAACAGACTGCAATGGAGTGTGGTTTAGCGGGACACAATCAAGCCAGAATGGCAGGTGTATGCAGTTCGCAGAGAAAAGGAACTTTCCTTTCTCTCCTATTCCTGCTTCTCACGGTTTTTATCCAAGCATTTTAGCTATCCCCTTGAGACATCATTCCCTTAGGGTCCTTAGGCCTTTGGAAACCAAGGTGAACACCTTCCTTCTGCTTTCTGTCCTCCTTCATCCCTTCCCTGGGGGCAGACAACTCAGTCATCTGAATCCAAGCAAGAGCAAAAGGGAGAAAAACCAATCAAGCTGCCACATAAAGAGACCATTCTTCCTCCTGGAGTACTGAAGAGAAGCTAGTGGGGGAGGCTTCGTGGCTTTGGGATTCCAGTCATGTCCTCCTTGGAGACAAAAGGTGATAAGCAGCAGTAGTTCCCTTAGCGAGTAAGAAGAGAGGGAGAAGCTTTTTATTTTTTTTTATTTTTTTTATTTTTTTTTTTGAGAAGCTTTTTAAAAACATGTTTATTTTAAAATTTTACATAATCTTTGGGTAATTCAGAATGAGATTAGGCATGTTTCAGACACTTCTGAGATGGAGGTCTCCAAACCAAAGTGAATAGCTTACGTGATTGAAGGACTGGGGGAACACATGACAAAGGATGAAGAGACACCTACTGACAAAGACACAAACCCCTTGGGACGGGGACTTCCCTGCAGCACACAGTCACCATTTTTAAATTACCTGTCGCAAATATTAAACATCTCACCAGACCAACAATAATACCCCTGTCTTATTTGCATTTTACTAGTTTCCATAGAGAGAGAACACAGAATTAAAAGTTCCATAGACCCAGAATCACACTTAAATTAATTTGATCCCTTATATTAATAATAACAATTAAAAGCTAGCATCTACCCAGTGTAGTCTCAGTGTCCACACCAACGCCTATCTCCCACTGGTGGAATGCCACCTTCCTCTCACTGTTTATGATTCAAAGATTGCAATGAGTGCATCGAAAGAGAACCTAAAGCAAGCTGAGAATTCCTGGGCGCACAGAGGTGGAGAAGACTCCCTCTACACAGCAGGAAGCAGCCCAAATGCTCTGCCTATTCCCAAGCCAAAAGACCAGAGCTGCAAGGAGGGAGCAGGAGGAGGAGGGACACTTCTGCACTTGCACCCCTGCTGCCTTGGATGGCTTCCTGGGTGCTCCAGCCAGGGCAGTTGTCGTCTCCCAGTAGCATAGTTAATTCCCTGATGATGGGATTCCCTCTCTGGCTTCCCTCAAAGCAAGGTCCCGCCCAGGTGTGAGCTTGGAGCAGGTTCTTACTGGAGGAAGGAGGGAGAGAGGCAAAGAAGCCACTATGTACTAAGCACCTGCTATGTGCCAAGTACAGACCCGGGGCAGGTGTTTCATGTAACCTTAACAACAACCCTGTGAGGTCGGCTCATTACCTCCATTTAGCAAATGTGGAAACAGAGCCTCAGGAGAATTAGCCCATGGTGGCATGGCTAGTAAACAGGGGAACATCAATTTGAAAACCCAGGGCTTCTCTCTCCAGGACTCCTTCTGCTGCCCATATAACCCAAGGGTCTGGCAGCATGAGAGCACTCCAGTTCCCAGACTGCTTGTCTAGAACTCAAGCTGAAGAGGCCCTTGAGCACATGGAGCCAGGAGTCCACAAGCCTGGGTCTAGGAGCCCTGACTCTACAGCATTACTTTGTAACCCTGAGTGAGTCCTTTACCTTCTCCTCACCAGGGCCAGACCAGTCCAGTGTGGTTCTTCACCTGGGAAGGGGGTAGCAAAACTCCCCAGGAAGCTTATTTGCACACCACGGTGGGAGGGGCTCTATCTGGAGACTCTGACGTTGCCCCTCGCCGGAGAGGTGGAGGGCATAGCCGTCTGATAAACCGTTATCTCTAAGGTTGTGTCTTTTTTTAAGATTTTTTTTAAATTTATTTGAGACAGAGAGCGAGAGAGAGAGGCAGAGACACAGGCAGAGGGAGAAGCAGGCTCCATGCAGGGAGCCCGATGTGGGACTCGATCCCGGGTCTCCAGGATCACGCCCTGGACTGAAGGTGGCACTAAACCGCTGAGCCACCCGGGCTGCCCTAAGGTTCTGACTTCTGAGAGCAACTTTAAATTCTAGGGAACCACATCCCTAACTCCCTGAGACACATTCTGCAAAAAAGCCCATGAAGGTCAAAGAAATCATCCAATCGGGATGCTTTTAAAGTACAAAATGCCTAAAAGTAATTTGAGAGAGGGAAACAATCTACTGTTTTAAAGGGGAAAAACAAGGTGGCAGGCAGGAGGGGGTGGGGCAGGCATTGACAGGGAAGCAGCAGACACGGTGTGCACGGTGTGCGAACCCAGCTGCAGCGAAGGGTCAGGCCAGGCCGAGCGTGGACAAGTCAGGTTTTTGGCATTTGGCTTGCCAGGTGTCTGCCATGGGGCTGTACTCAGCGGGAGTGGTTTCCTTAAAAAATAACTTGAGCCTTGAAGTTTGGGCAGACCTTAGAGAATAAACATGGGCAGTAAAGGCAGAAGGGAAAACACAACTCAAATGACTCAAACATCTGCTTGACGTGTTTCTCCACTTCCTCTAAAAGCTCCTCCACCGCGCAGCTCAGCGAAGCCCTCTCCGACCACAGTCACGGCAAATGCGTGGCCCCTCTGAGCACGAGAGCGGACAGCATGGAGTCGGCCTCGCCACGAACGCCCTGAGCACTGAGCACACTGAATCCTCCCTGTCTCTCTCCCACTGAACTGTGGACAGCTGGAGGATGGAGACCGTGCCCTTCTGTGCCTCTCTTCTCCATATGGAGAAGATGTGGGTTCACCAAGACCCTCTGCTCAGAAGCACCCAGGCTAAGGACCCACCAAACCAGCCAGAGAGATAGGAATGCCACCTCTCCCAGGGGCATGGGCTTTGGGAGGAACTTTGTTCTGGAGGAATCAACATGTTTCCTATGCCCAGTACCACTCATTGGCCCCCAGAGCCACCTTATACTGGGCCCAATCATAATTTGGGAGAATTTCTTTAAAATGTGACATCGGTGTAAAGGTGCAGGTTTGAAGCAATGGAGAGTGCTGGTTTGTGAAAATAAGGAGAAAACAGCCCAGTTTTGGCAGCCCTGGTGGTATGGAAAGAATGCTAGGTGTGTGTGTACATGGGTGTGGCAGGCGGCTTTGGGCTCGCACACCTCTGCAGCTACGGGGCAGGCTGGACCTGGCTGCTTGCTGTTGGGACTCCTACAGCCTGAGGTTCTCGCTCACAGAAGGCCCACAGTGCGGGCCGCAATTGTTTAGGAGCGTGATCTGCCCAGACTTGGTGGAGAATGGCGAGGGGGACCTGACCAGGGAGCCCATGCTCAGCAGCGAATCCTCCGGAAGCCAGGCAGTGTAGCTTTTCCCAGCAGGTAGATGTCCTCGTCTGTGCCCTGGTTGAGGTGCTTCACCAGATTCTTCTCGAAGAGGAGTGGGTGGTAGGCGCCCATCGTGCAGGCACTGTCAAAGAACTTCTGGTAGTAGTAGCACACATCAGTCTTACGCTTGGATGGGAGGAACTCGTAAATATCCACCTGGTCACACAGTGTCATCATGATGATGATACCTGAAGAGGAGAGCAGAGGTAAGTCCTGCCCGACAACCCACTCCGGCACCCTAGAGGTCTGCCCCGTGAGTCCAGCAGCTCAGAAACCCAAACCTGGGGAGATGTCAATCTAGAGTTTCTGTTGACAATTCTGATTCCCAGCCCGAGCTCTGCCAGTAAGCCAGTCCAGCAGGCTTCCTCAGGGTGCAGACTGCTGAGTTTATGACCTGTGAGTCCCTTGCACCCACGTCAGGGGCTGGGCAGGGCAGCCTCTCCCTAAACACTAGAGGACTGAAGTGCTCCGTTCATCAGTCACTGAGTGTATTGGTGTGAACATGAAGAGGGAGGACAAGAGGACAGAGGAGACAGTACCATCACACGTAGATAGTACTTTCTAGCACTTGTGTATCCAGCGGGAGCCTCGCAGGTGGCGCTGACTGGGGGGAGTTGTTTCTTAACGGTACTTCAGAGAAAGAGTGTGGGTGGGGAGGCTGTCCTTCCCTCAGCTGCCAGGGGGTGGTGGGAACAGGAGCTTGCGTGGCCCATATTGATGGGCTCCGTTCATTCCGACAGGAGATAGAGCGGAAGGGGTGAGGCCAGGTTGGTGCTCTCAGGGAGGTGGCACAGAACACTGTGCTGGAGACACAACCCAATGAGAGGCAGGAGACTCCTGCCACACCCACGCTCGTCCCCACCTGGCTCAAGTGTCTCATGCAGGACACATCTCTCCCTGGGCCTCAGGGTCTCCATCTGCCCCGAGGGGTGATCCAACCACTTCTCCTACCACACAGGTTGTTGCTAGCATACAGTGAGATCATGGCTCTCAGACCCCTCTAACAACCCCTTCTGACCCCTTAGGATGAAGCAGTTCTTACTAATAGCCAAACTGTGAACTGCTAGCAGCAACTGTGTTCCAGAGGAATCAGATATGGGAAAAGCCCTCTCTGGCTGCCCCTGGTCCAGTGGGGGAGAAAAGATACTTCTGCAACCAAGCTGGGGAACCAAGCTGCAACCAAGCGCAACAGAAGTGGCTTCTGGAAATTATGGGAGGGAGCACCTCCTATGGGTCTCAAGTAAATCTCCTGGCAGCAGTGGTATGGGGCCCGGTAGGGGCCATGACCAGGAGGGATGGATAGAGGGCAGGGCTGGCAGTGGAGGGGACTGCATGGATAAACGCCAGCCACTGGGGCGATGGGAGAGTGTTCCCCAGATGCTTTTCCAACTATTCCTGCTCATAAGGTCTCCCAGAAGAGCCCCAAATGCATACATACAGAAGTTGAAGAAAAAGGTATGAAGATATGGTCCTGAGATGGCCCCCATCCCTTTCTCCAAGGAGTGCCTGTGACATTGAACACTCAGTTGTTCATGAGCTCAGAGGACAGTTCCCACAGGGCTACCCTGTGCTGCACCCAGAAGAACCCATCAAACTAAGAGACTCTTAAAGACAGAGAACTGAGGGTTGCTGGAGGGGAGGTGGGCAGGGGAAGGGCTGGAAGGGTGGTGGGGATTAGGAGGGCACTGGTGATGAGGAGCACGGGGGCTTGTATGTAAGTGATGAATCACTGAATTCTACTCCCGATATTATACCGTGTATTAACTAACTAAACTAAATAAAGTTTTGAGGAAAAAAATGTAAAAAAAAAAAAAAAAAAAAGAATGCTTCAGTCTCACGTCCCACCCTGAGGGAGTCTGCATTCCAGGAGAGCAAGCACATCACACAGGGTGGGGTCCTGGAGCCATCTGGAGGAGAAGAGCCATCCTGGGGGGGTGGGGGCAGAGGAAAGAGCTGCCCTTCCATGTGTCTAAGAAGAAAGTCTGAAGCCCTCATTTAGGACCCTCTGGCCTCAGACCGCAGCCCACCTACACCAGCTCCCTTAGCTCCATTCACGACCCTCAAACCCCATAAAGCTTTGCCTCTCATTCTTCTTCTCAGGGCCATGACTAGGGTACTCACCGGGTTAAGGCCGGTTTTTAAAATTTTGAATAAAATATTATTGATTCTTGTTTGTCCTCGGATTCCAGTATGGCTCAGCATAACATGATCACTGATCCTGTCCTTATTTAAAATGTTGATATTTCACTCAGCTTAAAATCTTACATTAATTGTGATTTTTAAAAGATATCGTATGCATAGTATTTACCCCGTCACTGAATTTTTTGGTGCCCCCTTAAATTGGGAGGCCAATGCCTGCCTCCCCTCCTCTTCCAAATCCCAGTGCTGCTCTTCCTGTTTTCCTGCGCCCTCCCCACACCAAATCCACCCCTCACCTGGGCCTGGCCCAATGCTACTCCTTCACCAAGCTCGCTGACAGAAGGGGTGCTCCCTCCTGGCTTTCTGACCCCTGATTGAACTCCCCCACCAAACACCCTAAAGAAGAAGGATTCTCTCTTATTGGTCTCTGGATCTTACCTAGAACTTGGCACAGCCTACACATACAGCAATTGTTTGGTAAGCAAAGAATTGGATGAATGAATGAATGAATGAATGAGATCTCATTTTCTAATCTTTTCTAGAAACAAACATGAGAGGTCTCTCCCCAAATACGGACTCACCGAGCATTCCGGAGGATGGGGGGTTGGGCTGGATCTCCTCTGGGGAGACTTCTTGAATGATGTCCCATAGCTCCCAAGGCATCTGGGGCTTGAGAATGTAAAAAGGCTGGTCGGGATGCAGCTTGCGATAGCTCTTATAGTTCTCAAAGAAGCTGTAGTCGGGGCTCTGGTACCACTGAAAGGGAAGGAGAGGGTCTTCTCAAGAAGAGGGATGTGCCTCAGAGCCCCTTCCTTGGAGCAGACTCCAGACTTCTCCACATCACAGCTCTCACTTGACAGCACAGCAGACCCAGCACACAGCCGGTGCTCACAGGGAGTTTTGAGCTTGGCCACCCTGGCACAGCCTCAGACTTCAGGATCATGATCTGGGAATGCCATCAGGGCCCAAAGGGGCCCTTGGCACCATCTAATCCCACTTCTTATTTTTAAAGGGGCAAGAACTGGGGCACAGCTTGCCACATCTGTGGGCCCAGAGCCCCTGTCCTGCCCCAGGCAAACTTCAGTTCTAAGTGAGACCAGAGCAAGGCTGTGGAGGCTGAGGTGGCGAGGGCACCGGGGACGGATGACCAGAGCCGTCAGCTCCCAGGGGGTCTGACTTCAGAATCCAGTGTCCCCAGGACAGCAGCCTCCGGCCTTGCGCCCTGACACCGTTGTCCTGTGGCACTGCGGCACCTAGGGAGAGGCTGGTTGACACGCCCGATGGACAGCAAGCGTGCCACTCTGGAGGAGCTGCAGAGCAAGGGGGCCTGAGACTCCCAACCCCGAAACAGAGCCCTCCACTTGGTAAACAAAGTCCTGGGCCAGGCAACTTCCCCTCTCCATACTCTAGTCTCCTCACCTGTACAAGGGACACAGCCATGCCCCTATCTACTTCCCTCTGTTGTTATGAGTGAAATGGGAAGAATTCGGGAAAGCGGAATGGTGATTCTGTCCCAGGAATGTGTAATCACTGTCTACTCCTGCTGATCCGCACCCGAAATGACTGTACTGGACGGCCCCACCCGACAGTGAGAAATCCAGCCACCCCGACTCCTGACCCGCGCCAGAGTTAAGAGAGAAACACGGCCCTGTGGGGCCAAGCACAGCAGCGAGGCTGCAGGACAGGAATACTTCTGCGCTGCTCGTCCGGGTGACGAAGGAGCCAGTCTTCAGGGCTGGCCCAGGTCAGCCGTGACTTTCAAAACCCAGGAACTTGGGAGCATCTCTAGGCAAACAGAAGACTCAATCTCTCTTTCCCACGGACGCCCACCTACCTTTGGGATATCTGAATGGTAAACAGACGGGTCCCACACAATTAGGATTCCTTCGTTGTACAGACTGTCCTTGAGGAAGCGCCCTTCGGTGGTGACCAGCTGCAAGGAAGAAACAGACCAACTGTCACCTGGATGCTGACATGTAAACGCTTGGCTTGTAGTACTGACTGGCAGGTCACAAGCACCACCGGAGGCCCCAGGGCCCATGAGGCTTCTGTCTTGGTGTAGCACTTAATTTCAGTGATTTGTGAGATCAGCCATTGGACGTTCACCTTCAAAAGCACACATGCCCCAGGTGGAAACTGAGAGGAACAAGTGGCAGAAATCAAATCAAGAGCTGCCCTGAAACGAAGAGCAAGAATCACCACAATCCCTCCGCACCCCGGCCGCTCAACATCACGAGGCGGAGAGCTAATCAGTGTCACTGTAATAACCCAAGAATGACTACAGGAAGGTGTCAACCCAGAGAGCAGCAACTTGCCACGAGCCTCTGAAGTCATTCAGCTACCTCGTCCCCCCCACCCCCAAAGGTAAGAACGGCCTGGAAGCCTGAAGACTACAATCCCACTTCCTCAGTATATCTTTGAGATAAGAACTATTAGCGGTGGGCCCACCTTGGCTGGGTTCTACTGGGTGCTAAGGAGTCCCCAGGGAGGGGTGGCTCAGTCAGTTAAGCGTCTGCCTTTGGCTCAGGTTATGATCTCAGGGTCCTGGGACTGGATCCTGCATCAGGTTCCCTGCGTCTCTGTCTCCCTCTGCCTCCCGCTCCCCTTGCTTGTGCACTCTCTCTCTCTCTCTCTTAAATAAAATCTTTATGGGGATCCCTGGGTGGCTCAGCGATTTGGCGCCTGCCTTTGGCCCAGGGCGCGGTCCTGGAGTCCCGGGATCGAGTCCTCAGTCAGGCTCCTAGCATGGAGCCTGATTCTCCCTCTGCCTATGTCTCTGCCCCTCTCTCTATGTCTATCATGAATAAATAAATAAAATCTTTAAAATAAATAAATAAAATCTTTCAAAAAAAAAAAAAAGGAGTCCCCAGGGGGTTTACAGGGTGCCAGCGTGAGTCTGGCCATGAGGTGAGTGAGTGTTCAGGGACAAATCATAGTGGACCAAGCCAGGGGAGTGGGGAGTGAGGAGACAGAGGATGTCCCAGCTGTGACATGTGGCAGAGACTGCTAGGTATCACCCAATATCCATTCATTCTTTCTTCCTTGGAAACAAACATTTCTGTTTACCTCAACACATGGCCACCTATAATAAAGATGACCTGAAATAAAAATTTCCCAACTTCTCTTACAGCTAAGTCTGGCCCCGTGATAAAATTCTGGCCAAGGGTATGTGAGCAGGTGTGACTTCCAGAAAGTGTCCTAGAGGCAAATTCATGCCTTTCTTTGTTCATTCCTCCTTCCTGCCAGCTGAGAGTGGATGTGATGGCTGGAGCTGGAGCAGTCATCTTGGACCATGAAGCTGAAGTCCCATGACTGAAGGGCAAATGCACAAGGTAGCAGGAGCCTGGGTTCCTGACACACTGGAACACCATAGCAGTTCTGGAATGTCCACCTTTGGCCTCCTTTTACATGACATAGAAATACATTTTTATCTTGTTAACCTAGTGTTGAGGGGTGGGCAGCGTGTTCCTGTCACTAACAGACAAACCTAATTCTACTCACTACCATGAGGAGCTTATCTGTGAATACGGAGGTTGTCCAGTGCAGCTAGGATACAGGGGGAGAGCTAGAAGGTATTAGAAAAACATAGGCAGGGCCACGCCTATGTGGGTTTCTTCAGTAGATTATGGAACTGGTGAAGGCTTTTCAGTGAGAAGGATGTAAATTGACTAGTATTCTGGAGTCTCAAGAGTTTGAGAGAAGGGGAGACCAGGTTTCAGCCAAAAAAAATGATGGGGAAGGACAAGGAGCTACAACTTGCAGCTGGAGACTTGTAGACTCACTGTGTGCTGAGAGTAAAGGAAAGCAGTTCAAGGGGACTCCTAAACCTCAGGACGTTTCCTACAATGAGAATGTGGAAAGAACAGCAACTGGTATGTGCCAGGGGTGGGTGAGGTGGGGGTCTGAAGTTCAAGGATGAGGCAGTTGGCCTCAAGTCCCACTGGATCTAGGAATGTCTTCTGACTTTAAGTGCAGTCCTGTGTCCCTGGGGAGCATTGTAACCCCCGGCATAGGCATGCAGTGCTGTGGTCCAAAGGTGGGCCAGGCATCCCGGCAGGCGGGGCTTTGCAAGGCAGACACCATGGAGCTGGCAACAGGGAGGCCCAGGGAGCAGGCGGGCGACCTCCCACTATTCTATACTTTGGGGACAGAATTCCACAACTTCATTCCTATTCCCACCCCACTCCGCCCCCCTCGGAGCGGCTGGTATATTGAGAGCCCAAGTCTTTCCCTGAGCCCCGCTTCGTTCTCTGCCATCAGCCAGGTGATGCAGGTGCGCTCAGGAGGATAGAGACGCCTGGGATTCTTAAAACGTCTCCTGCTCCTCCCAGTAATCTCTGCACAAGGAGGAGGCCACTGGCAGCCGGTTCTGGCATCCTAAGGCTTTCCTGGGATCTGGGCCTTCGCGGGCCTCAAGTCCCAAGGGAGCTGCTCAAAAGTCTCTTCTCCTTTACCACAAAGGCGAACAACGATAGCAACGGATGCCATCTGGTGCCGTTCATCCCAAGCCACGTACCTCCATACACTGTCTCAGTTCATCTTCGCAACAGCCCCAGGAGGTAATTATTATTAAGACGCTCGTTTTATAAATAAGGAGATAAAGTGAGAGACGCCAAGAAACTCGCCCCAGCTTACAGCTAGTAGCAGGGGGTCTGGACGGGAGCCCTGCTGCCTGGCTCCAGGGTCCGCCCTGCTGACCGACCCGCACTGCCTCCCGCAAGGGCGGGGGGGGGGGGGCGGTCGGCGCGGGGTTTGGGAGGAGACAGACACGGCGCGAGAATGTTGCTTCCTCTGAGTCGTAGCAAGTCAAAGCTGGAAGATCCGCGAGGGGCTGGACCTAATCCGTCAAGTTTAGATGGGTAAACTGAGGTCCAGAGAGCAGAGAGACCTGTGGGCGAGCAGGGTACAAAGCCAGAAAGGGAGCCGAGAGGCTCCCCCCCCCCCGTGCGCATGCGCATAAGGAGCACCCTGGCGCTGCGGCCTCGGTCCTCACGCGCATGCGCACGCTGAGGGACCCACCCCCCCGCTCCCTCCAGCTGCTGCGCGGGGAAGCATTAAACAAGAAACTGAGAAGAGAGGAAGGTAAGGGCTCGTTTTCCAGAGCAGGAGCAGAGGTGACGGCAGCCAGGCCCCGGGCGGGGACGGGGAGCGACTGGCAAGCACCCTGCAAGTGGAAACGGACCTGGCCCTGACCTGCCCGCGCGCATTCTGGCGGCCCTAACGTGACGTTGAGAGATGTCCCCCTACCCGAGGGGCCTCCGCGCAGCTCGGGGAGACGGGCAGTGCTCCGGGGCCGAGGAGGGCCATTTCCCCTCGCGGGGCTCAGGTGTGGGGGGACCAGCCGGGGCACCAGCCGTGCCAGGAGCATCTCAGCCAGCCAAGGCGCTGGGGACAGAATGTGCATCTTCTCAGGTGCCCCTGCCCTTAGCCTGGTGCAGAGTCCGACTGGGGTCCGGGATCCCAGGAGCCTCGTGACGAGGGTCATGAGTCATCGCCACAGCAACAGAGCCCCCAGGGACACCTGCCAGGAAAAGGCCACGCAGGGAGATGGAGAGGTGCTATTATGGAAACCTGTTTATTTTTATTTTTTTTAAAGATTTTATTTATTTATTCACGAGAGACACACAGAGAGAGAGAGAGGCAGAGACACAGGCAGAGGGAGAAGCAGGTTCCATGCAGGGAGCCCGACATGGGACTCGATCCCGGGTCTCCAGGATCACACCCCAGGCTACAGGCGGTGCTAAACCGCTGTGCCACCAGGGCTGCCCATGGAAACCTGTTTAAAGTCATCTCTCCAGTCACAAAGTAAGAAATGCTCACTGCAGAAAGTGAGAGAAGAATACCCACGACTGCATAGGAGTAAGAAAACAACAGACAATATCTGTATGAATATATTGGCCTTTTTTCTCCCCAAATCTTTTTTCCCCTCAGTTATAGACTGAACTGCATCTTCCCGCCCCCCACCAAAATTCTTATGTTGAAACCCTAACCCCCGATGTGACTATATTGGAGATGGGGCCTTCAAGGAGATAATTAAGGTTTAATGAGGTCACAAGGACGGGTCCTTCATCTGATAAGACTGATATCCTTATAAGAAAACGAAGAGACCCTAAAGATCTCTCTCTCTCTCTCTCTCCACATGTGCACCGAGGAAAGGCCACGTGAAGAGGCAGAGAGGTGGCCCTCCACAAGCCACGAAGAGAGCCCGTATCAGAGACCAAGCTTTATGGCACCCTGATCTTGTACCTCTGACCTCCAGAATTGTGAGAAAATAAATCTCTGTTGTACAAGCACTCCCATCTGTGGTATTTTGATGGCAGGCCTAGGACACTGATAGACCCTGTGTGTGTGTGTGTGTGTGTGTGTGTGTGTGTGTGTATGTGTGTGTGTGTAGATACTGATATCTTAACTATAGAGTCTAGACCTTACTGTCTTGTTAAACTCCTACAACAAAGTCCATGTCTTCTTAATCCTCCCTCACAGTATTTCTCAGCCCCAAACAGGGTCTGAAAAGGAAGCTGTCAGAGGCCATATAACTGGCCCAGGATCGCACAGCTAAGAAAGGCTGGAGCTAGGGTACAAATTAAGGACTGTCTCATCTTTTCCCACTGTACCAGACAACCTTCATTCAAGACAGTAAAAAGTCTGTGCTCCAGCTACCAAACTGGCAACTTTGCCAGAGTTACAGAAGTAGTCAGCACTCCGGGAAGACACACCGAGCGGTGGTAGAGGCCCTGAGCAGACACGAAAACTGAAGGCCTGACCATGGTAAACTGGACCTGGACAAGAAGCAGGTGCTCTCACAGAGAGAAGGGCACCTCAAGTGGAAGGCCACCGCAAACCCCAAATCAGAGGTGCCTGTAATTCCCCCTGGCATCCCAGAAAGTCATCAAAAGAATCAGCAAGTATAAGAAGAATTGATGTTGGAAAGTA